TGTTCTTGTTTGAGGTGCAAAAGGCGTTCGAATATAGGCGTCGAGAATAATGATTTCGCATTGTCTGGTGGAAGTGGAGAAGATAAGATCAAACTCTGCTTTGAACAAGTGCTATGGCACAACAATCAGCCACCGAAACCGAAGTCGAAGTATAAACCGAGAGGAGAAAAGCCACGAGGACCACGAGCAGAGCTGCCACGTATCGATCCTGAATTCAAGGCAATTGTCGAAGGTCTTGACGACTATCATCGTATCGATTGGCCCAACAACAAAGATTTCTGCAATGGCCTTAAGCATTTGACCAATCAGTACACAGATAACGTCGTCACCAATCTTGAAACGCATGCTAACAAACACATCACCCAGTACTTGGTACTGAAAGTGTTCGAATTGAACTCAAACTTGGAAGAGGATGGAGAGAAATTTTTGCCAAGTGACATCGAAAATGTTGTCAAGTTGATCATCAAGCAAAAAGATATCAAAGTGCCAAGTCGCGATCCAAACAAACTTGTACGGTGTGAGGTGTTGTATGATATCGTGAGAGATTGCAATGTGTTCCCAGAAATCGATCTGCATGACCTTACAACTGACCCAAAACATTGGTATAAGGCCATGCCAATGTACCTATCTATGCAGCGCGAGATAGAAGAGTACAATTCGGAGTGGCCACATCAGCGCCGACCCAAACATAAGAAAAGAAAGCGAAAAAAGACAAAAGGAAAATGGAAACGCAAGCGCAGCCAAATGCTCGACAACCCAGATTTTCGGCCATTCATCCGAAATTTAGTAGTGGTGCCGATGTGTGATTTCCGGCGTACGCACTTCAGAATCGATTGTTCATCCATGCACCAGGTGTTGTCTTCGCAAAAATTGCTACCGAAAGTGGAAATCGAGAATAAAAAAGGAACAACAAGCACGAAAACGATTCAACAAAAGGATTTCAATCATTCGAGAGATTATTGGTGGAATCAGTATTTTTACATGCGAAAAATTCGACGATTCGTACGTGCCAAAAAGCAGTTTGTCTTTTCCATAAACACCGATGGAATCTCTGTGTCTCTCCAGTACTCGGCCAAAAAGAAGACAGACAACAAAGAAATCGACCAAAAATCTCGCATCATTCAGAAGATTGAGGATGGCACAATCAAAAATTATTCGGGCGTTGATTCAGGTGTGCGAAGTTGGAATACCACAACAACACACGACATTGAAACTGGCAAAGAAGTAAGTTTTGTATACATTCGAATAAGTTGTGTGTATTTTAATAGAAAATGCTCAAGTGCCAAAACTCAATAACTATACCTTTTTTTCTATTTATTTTTTCAGACCAACTTTGTAATGTCGAGCAAGCAATTCCACTGGCAAACAGGTCAAAAGGTGCGAAATGCCAAAGCAAAGCGATGGACCAAAAATTTCGTCGAAATGGAGCGCGCAGACAGAGAAAATCGTGATCTGTATCCAGTGATGCCGTCGCCAAAAGGGTCAATGTGGCTGAACTACATCAAACATCGAGTCAAGATGATGAAGCATGGAATCTGCGCTTACTCGACTGCCAAATACACTCGACTCGCCTTGGACAAACACATCAAGAGCAGTAGTGTTGTCGACGAATGGGTGAATAAGGTGACCGATAAGAAACCGACTCTGTTCTTTTTTGGTGCTGATGGCGAAATACCACCTGATAGCCCAATAAGTATCAAGAAGCACGTGCGCTGCCCAGGGGTGCGTAAGACTTTGAGGTCAATAAAAAAGCGCCGAGATTGTTTCATACAATTGGTGGACGAATGGGGAACATCTCAAACCGACGCAAGATGTATGAATCGATTCCAAAACCAGAACAAAGCGGCCAGATTCAAGAAATGCCGATGTGTACCCGACGCCAGAACATTGCTGCCAACGAAAATTGTGTCAAAGTTGGGCAAAACGGATCTATCGATCTACCGACAGTTGCAACGCGCCATGAACGAAGAAGCATTGGTAGGAGACGAGCGTTTATTCCCAAAAGTAAAATGTTACTACAAAAACTGGCGATTAAACCTCGAATGCTCTGTGATTTGGCATCGTGACGTCGTGGCTGCTAAGAACATTCTACTGAAAGGTAAGACTAATTGACGCACAATTTTGATTGAATGATTTTTTAAGAAGGTTCATTTGTTTAATTGTTCAGGACTATGGACATTACTGGGACTTCCGATACCGGAGGCGATCAATAGGTATTGGCGCGAAGCTGCTGAAGCAGCCGCTGCTGTTGCCGCTGCTGCTGTCGCCATCGTGGATAATGATGTAGAAATGTTCGAGTACGACCAGCAGCCAGCTGATCATGCTGTCTAATCAGCACATTGCAAACAAAAAAAAAACAAATGTAACATTAGTTATTAAAGGCTATCCCGATCATGTGGGATAGTTGCGTTGAAGCAAGTTGACTCCCCATCTGGTTGATGTTAACTGCGCAGGAGTACTCTAGTGGGTCGTTTAGGTAAGCATTATTCGATTTTGCAAAGAGTTTTTTTTTCTTCTGGAAGTGTTGTATAACGCTCTATTAATGCTACCAGTTGACATAAAATTGGCTTCTCTTTAAATTTATGCTATTCATTCTTCTTTTTCAGATTAGCTGAACACCCTAGTGTAGAGTCACATATGTATGTTTTCATTCAAAAAATAGAATAACCAAAAAACATTCATGTAACGCTATTTAGTCATTTTTGACGTTAAAAGATATAACGTGTTCACGCTTTTTTCCGTCAAAATCGAATAAAATTTCAGTGTAAAGTTTACTAGACATGGTATTGGTTTCAATGAGTTCTGTTGGCCCATAGGAACTCTTTCAATCCATTGAACCATCATAAAAAAGTTTAATTCAAAATTTCGTTGAAAAAACTTAAAGTCAATTTTTTCCCAATATGAATGATTTTCGATTCCAAGTTTTAAACGATAAAATTTTTTGTTCTGTGTAATTAAGCTATAGAATTGGTTTCAATGTGTTCAAGTAGACTTCAGGAACTCATTCAATTAATTAAACTATGAATTATTATTTGATGTGAAAATTCTGTTGAAAAAAATTCTGAATCGATTTTTGCCTTATAGATTTATGTTAATATTACATTTTGATATTTTCCGTTCTGAAACACAGAAGATTGAAAAATGTCTTACATAAATTCAAAATCGTCCATAAAGCCACTGTTTTATAGTTAGTTTCCATTGAGCATATTTCAATCATTTAAATTGATAAAACATGCGAGTTAAAACAAGTTTGC